ACACACACACACACACACACACACACACACACACACACACACACACACACACAGACTCTTTCTTTTTGTACAGACTCTTTCTTTTTGTATTTCTTTTAAAACACACACACACACACACACACACACACACACACACACACACACACACAAACACAAACACACAAACACAAACACACAGACACACACACACAGACACACACACACAGACACACACACACACTGGCCCATCTATTATGGGGGGCTTCAGTCCGGATCCAGATACAGACTGGTGTCAATGAGGTTTTGGTGAGCGCGCCTAATGGTGTGAGGCTTCCTGGATTGCAAAGAGACAAGATCGTAACAACATATGTACTCCTTCCTTCTTTTTTTGCCCCATCATGCATGCATTTCATCCTTACCGTGCCTGCTGTAGGGTGCCTTGTACAGTGATGGTGGCAGTACGTTGGGGGGAGGTCATTGTGAGGGGCAGGCCTGCTACAGTGAGGGTGGTAATCGGTATAGGGAAGGTCCTTGGGAAGCACAGGAGGCGGTGGGAAAGGTTGGCAGCGATGAGCAAGAAAGACAGGCAGGCACTATGATAGGGGGACTTCCTTCGGGGGGTGTAGGAGGGGAGTATAAGGAAGGTAGGTGGATTCTTACCTGGCCGTAGCCTACGGCAGGGAGAAGCTCCACCTGTGTGGCCTACTCTTAAAGGAAGCTCAAGGGATAATAAGGGACTGATCATCATCATGATCATGATCATGATCATCATCATCATCATCATCATCATCATATCTTCAATTAATGAATATGTACATATCATGAATGAATATATTTTTTAATTGTATATAATTTGATAATAGTACAACTTGAATTCATCATTATTTATAATTCACCAGAAGAAGAAGAAGAAGAAGAAGAAGAAGAAGAAGAAGAAGAAGAAGAAGAAGTGCGGCAAAGCTCTGCAGCATGATGGCGGATGTGAAGTATAGGGCTACCGTCTTCATCCGAACATAACGCACCCTGAAAATGAACGTATGCAAGAGGAGGCATGTTTCCGGCGCCCGATAGAGTCAAAATGAGGGGGCGTTGTGTTCGGGGGAAGACGGTAGGATGTAGGACAAAGGGTAGGAAGTGACACACCCGCTGGCCTGTCAACCTTGACACGAGCTAACACCTGGAATGACCGGTGCTGGTTTTTTTCTTTTTCTTTTTCTTTTTCTTTTTCTTTTTCTTTTTCTTTTTCGTTTTCGTTTTCGGTTTCGGTTTCGGTTTCGGTTTTTGGCGCCAGCAGCTTAAGACTTGGGGAGGGGGAGGGGGAGAGGGAGGGGGGAAGTCGCGGGGCAGGGGGAGATTCCCCACTTCAAGTATGAGGGGATGGGAGGATAGTACAGGAAGAGATTAGGAGGGGGAAAACGCTCGATGCAGAGCGTTTTTTTCTTTTCCCTCCCATCTCTCTCTCTCTCTCTCTCTCTCTCTCTCTCTCTCTCTCTCTCTCTCTCTCTCTCTCTCCCCGTGCCAAGAATAATCAATAATCCCCGTCCGCGAATCTCTCTCTCTCTCTCTCTCTCTCTCTCTCTCTCTCTCTCTCTCTCTCTCTCTCTCTCTCTCTCTCTCCCCGTGCCCCCCCCCCCCCCCCCCCTCTCTCCGTCCCCAGACTCCCAACGCTGTCTCTTATACACATCTAGATGTGTATAAGAG